TCTGAAGATAATTACAAAGGTATGAAAGTGAAAATCTGTCAGAACACAAGCTGGTTTTGAAATAGAAGAATAAGCTTTCTTTCATTGTAGTAGAAATTTGGAACATTGTAATAGAAATCTGATATTTGCTGATTGGGTAGCATAAAAAACTAAAGAGAAAAAAGAGCTTTTCAAAGACTTCCTCCAGTTTTCCTTAGATAGCTGTTTTCAATTTTGTTAGTTTTCTTCAGGAAAGGTTTTGTTGTATTCCTGCAGTACAGGAAGTCAATGTCACTCATATATGCTCATCCTAGACAGGATGTGCATTGTCAAGCCAGTCTCCTGGTGTGGCACTCATCAGGAAGAGACCGCTGGGTATCGAGGCAGGTGTGGTCAGGCAAGCATTTTATCAGTCAAACCTGCTGCTGCCTTGGTGTGAGATGGGGCCCAGCTTGATCATGGAAGCATCTGGACGTACAGTACTGTGTCCAGGCACTACAGTCAGTAAGAGGCCAAGCATGGATGTGAACCTGCAGTCCCCAAGATGTAGGGCTCACCCCGCACTGAGTGGAGCACCTTAATGAGATGCGATGTTCAAAATGTATCTGTTACTAATTTTTGTTTTTAGACATACACCAGGAAATAAAATATTGAGGGAAATATGAAAAATAAGAATTGATATTCTGATTGTGCTAACATATTTTATGGATGTTTTGTTGGTACATTTTTTTATTAAAAATATATGTGCAGTATGCAACCACAACTTGCATACTCCATTGGTGAGGGTGGCTTGGTGTTTCACATTGATTTAAAGAACCTGCAGCAAATGTTGAGTTTTTTTATATAACAGGAATCTACATTAAAAAAAAACAACAAAAGTGCAACTTTTGTATTTTATTACCCGTTATGGTTGCATTCTTTCGTCACGTGTTAAGACTGATGTTCCGAACTTTTAATAGAAGAGACAGAAATAGTTTGTGACAGACAGCACAGATGTAATGCTTTAAGATGATCTCTCATTATGTGCTAATGGAGTAGGTGACTAAAATGTGATGGCTGTATTTAAATATTTTGAAAGGCATGCGCTTGATATTTTATAACCTGTCAAAATTTGAAATACAAGTACTACACGACCTGAAAATGGAGTCTATACGTTAACAAGCCTTAACAAGTTGACCAAGGCACTATATGTTTAATGGACAGAAACCATTACAAGACATCTTTTTAAATAAGAGTTCCCAACAGGTTTCTGTCTCAGCCTATCCACAATCAGTCATTCACAGCCAGAGTATTTGGCTAGGGCTGTCAGCTGCTGGTTCCACTTATTTCTAAAGAGCAAAAGACTGAGGTAAAGTGGCTGCCAAATGCTGCAACAGCAAAATGTTAAAAGAAGGCATACTGTATATGTCCTTGAAGAAATCCTACTACTCCTGTACTTAACTTTAATATTTTACTCAGGTGTCAGAGACCATTATGGAATGGGCGTCTATAAGTCACAACATGAACCTTGCACTAGAGCTGTACTAGAGTTTCAATTCCATGATTTCAGCTTTCTGCCCCGTTTCTGTCTTTTCCCCAGTATACAAACTCACATGAGCGGACAGGCCTTATGGTCTAAGGTTGTCATCCGAACTGCCAGTAAATTAGCCTCCATAGCTGGTTCTTTTTTTTTTCTATCATGAAAGTAGAAAGCCTTCACAATCTTACATGTTATACACCAAATGGCATCTTCCTCTTAATCTAAATAGGCCACAACTATTTGTTTTGGGCTGATCTTCACACTGTGTTGAGTTTCGTTCTGGCATAGATGAAAATAGTATGGGAGTCAGGAAGGCTTTGGGAAGACAGAAAAGGAAACGTGTGTGCATGTTCAGTACAGATATGTTTGTCCTACTCGTAATTCTAATCTTAATCTACTAGGAATGGCACAGGGTGGTCCTGACAATTCATCTGCTGGGCAGGCTTAATGTAATTAGACAAAGGACTCAAGGAATCTATAGATTTTGACAGGTCAAATTGTAAATTGCATTAGAGTGCATGTCTCTTAATAGTACAGCCACCAATACATTCCATTTCAATTTATTCCATAAATTTTTCTCTTTACAATCCAGTTGTGTTCTTTTACTGTATTTTGTCATTATATGAGCACTTTATCTCTTGGCTTTATTGTGGGTTTACAGATCACTATAAACATTTGAAAACAATTTGGAAGTGAACTGGGAATAGAAGTTGAAGAAGACATTGTGATTCCAGAAATTGCTGCTGTTAGAACAGACAGGCTAGTGAAATGTACAGTATCAGATCCAGACAGGGCTGACACAAAAAAGAGTGACAGGCTCACTGACAGGAGACCCAAACACCTCTTCACAGAAAACAGCCATTGTCGTTACCTAGCAACTGTGAGTCACAGGAAAGTCAGTCACTAAAAATAACAAGGTGTTTGCAGACAAAAGGCATGAAAATGAAACAAACGGCTCTCAGGGAATCTGTGAGACCAATGCACCAAAATCATGATTCAAATGAAGTTTTTGGCTTGACTTCTAAAATAACAATACCTACTTTGTTCAATTTGCTGGGAAACAAAACAAAAAGATTCACATTTTGCATGCAGAATTCATTATCAGTACACACAATGGAGTAGTAAGTATCTGTAAAGCAAATAATAGACTTAAAATTTACTACATCACTCTTGTGAGACAAAATGCATCTGGAAAATGCCAATCGAGGAGAGCTGATCAGACAGCAGTCCACCACATTTAACTACAGTATTTGGGATTTTGGGTAAAATTAAAAACTGTTTTCAGTTAAAATGGTTTTAAGATGTGACCTTTACCCCTTCAAGTCTCCCACAACAGTTTGGAGTAGAAAAATAAATCAGTCTATATTGTACTGCAAGTGCTGAGTGGTACAATTGTACTAACCAATACAAAGGACAATATGTGGATTGAAGATTAAAAAGTTTATGATAGTATTACTGGTGAGATGTTTTCATTGTTTTGTTTGCTTTTTGCTTCTTTAAAAAGAGTTTTTAAAGGGTAGGCTGATTTAGATATTGCAGGTTCAAGTCTTCGATTCCCGAAGTGGCTGCACACTGTTGGCTGAGAGCAGCTGAGGCAATGGAGGATTCCTGAGCTAGGACTAAGCAGGATCCCAGTGACACAGAGAGCCCTGTGCTCTCCCAGGCACCTGCATGCTTAATGGAGTTTACAATGGGTGTTCAGGAGGGATCAAAGCAGCCGCGTTCAACTAGCCTCAGCTCTCCTAAATCATAATCATTCCTGATGTCAATTCTTTAAGTTACAGTATATAACTTAAACAAGCCTCTTCGCTCTTTCGCATCTGGCTTTTGCGTCTTCTCCTCCACCCTATCTCGACCTTCGCAGCCACCCCTTAATTCACTCTCTGCTCCGTTTGGGGGATCTCGGCTCCTTGTCCTAGCAGGCTGGCCCTCAGCCAAACAGGTTAAGCCAAACCTCCTGTACTACGACTCAACTACACAACGACCTTTTTCAATACACGTAGCTCTTGAATGTTTTTGAGGAACTGTGCAGTTGGTGACAGGTGTGCCTGTCCTCCAGTCGGTACTGGTCCTCCTGCTCGGGGCTGTGCTTCTGGTGAGATGTTAAAAGACGAACTTCTGGAATTTGAGTGAGTCAGAGGAGTCTGTCAACACTTCCTCATTCTTCTCTGATTTTAAATAGTATAGGTGTAGAGCAAAATAAATGCAGATTCTACATTAAAAAAGTGCCTTTATAAAAGGAAAATTACAGTGACTTTAGACTTAAAGACAGGTACAGAATTCAACACCAGATACCTGGATGAGCTGAAACTGTGGAATACAATGACAAATAGCTCATTTTAAAAATCTTGAGAGTGTTGAAGGAGAAAGGTCATTTGCCTTTTTTACCTATGTAAATCCTTCATCTTGGTCTGATAAGGCCCATAAAGGAACACATTTCATGCCAAGTGAGAAAATACTCTGTGGAAGATTGGGATTGTAAGGAAAATGAGAAGGATGAAAGAGCAGGTGTGAGCTAATGTAACCTTATTACTCAGAGACATTAAATAATAACTTGCAGTCTTACCCTTGTTTTTCTGAAATTGGACCCACATGGAAACTTTGGAATAGAATTGGTAATATTTTTTTATATGCTGAGTGTTTGCTTAAGTTGCAGGGAGGCTAGAGCTGAAAAGACGTCCTTTGCGGTGATGCAATCCCAGAGTTATGTTGTTTTGGCTGTCGTAGGTGAGCATAATGCATCCCTGGTGGTCAAGTCTGCCTAGGAGAGCAGAGGAACCCTCTGCTTAGAGAAGCCAAAAGCCATTAATGTCAATTGGCCCGCAGAACCGTCACTCTTTAAATGGACCTGGCAGCTGAGCAACACAAACCCTGATGCCAGAATTGATGCCAAGGTGCCATGGTGTGAATGCACTTAGCTGCCAGGGCCAGAGGGTGAGCATTCCTGCTTTTTGCTCCTGTTATACGAACATGCGTTTCTGAGGAAGACGGAACACAGCCTTCAGGCGTGTGTTCCCAAAGGTGGTGCTGCTCAGTGAATTAAGAATCTTCTCTTACAAACACAGTTTCATTTAAGGAAAGCCCTATAAATCTTAGGATCACCACTGCAAAATAAACTCAGCCCATATGCAATTCATTAAAAAAAACAGAAATTAAGCAGGTCATGCACAGGCTCTCAGCAGTATGCAAGGTAATGGGCAGGAGGCAACAGCCCCATGCTAAAGTCCTCACGTTGCAATTTGTCTACTACCTTAAAATGGTAATAAATTCTGACGAAGTTCATCATATATCATATATCTCTAGCATCATAAATGCAATCATTCAATATCTGTTGACTTTGCTTTGTTAATGTGCTAAATTACAATAGATAAGATTAATTTATTTAGCTCAATGTGTTTCTGTGCTTATCCTTGTTGCAGCATGAGATTCATGTACGTGATGATGAGAGTCCACACAGGACTTTCTTAAGCTACACTTTGACAAAACTGAGATTCTTTTCGTAGGCTCAGCATCAGCTTTGAAAAGGTTCAGGTTTATTGTTGAAACCTTATTATTTAAACTTACTGTACTGTAGTTAGAAACCTTGGTGTTTGCAATTAAAGCGCATGTTAGAAACATCAACCTGTATAACATTTGGTTATGAACCTTGTGCTGCTGTTTTATTGTCTGATGTCAAAATAGTAGCACATCTCTTTATTTAATCAAAATTAGAATACTATTATACCTTCCTTACAGGCTTCAATATGCCCAGAATCTTGCAACTCACATACATATTCTGCATCAGCACATTACACCTATACTCCGTAAATTGCACTTGCTCTCTGTGAAAATTAGAGTAGAGATTTTTTTGCCTTACAGTACATACTGTATAATGCAATGAATGTTCTCCAAACTGTTTTAAGAACTGATTGTTTTGAGATCTGCTGATTCAGGCTTCTTTACTTTCTTGAAGACCAGGCTCCACTCAATGGATGATAAGAGCCTTGTCTTATTCAGCATTCTATCTATGGGATTACTTTTCTTCCTTCCTTCTTCTTGCCTTTTTGTCTCCCTGCCTTGTCTTTTGCACAAGCTCGTCCACACCTTTAAGTTCATGCTCCAGCTCCCTCCCGGCTGGTCTCCTGGCCATGCTATTCACACTGTCAAACTAATTTGTGGACTCCCCGTTTTTCTTTTTTTTTTAAATTTTGCTCATGTTACTCTGGTTCCTCTAATGGTTCTTTGTAGTTCCATATATCCGTTTCAAAATACTGTGCTTGCCTACCAGTGTCTTAACCCTGCTGACCCAGTAAAGCCTCTACTCCTTCGCTCCTCCACATACTGTACTCCTCCTTAACCACACTCACTATTCCTCTACACAATCTCCCCACCTCCAGTGCCCATTCATTCTTGTTCCTCACTATGCAGAGCTGGAATGAACTGAAAATTCATGGAAATTGTTTAGCCGTTGACCTCCTTTGGCATTTCTTTAAGATTCCTCTATTTAGACAGCACCTGTGATCTCTCGCTTTCACACTTTCTTTAGCACTAACCTCTTTCTGTACTGGATTCAGTAATTCCTTACCTAAATGCTGTTTACCAAATGAAGAACAATGTTTGCTCTGCTCTATACTGTTCTTCTAACATATGCCTACCTCACTGTTTGTCATTTAGAATTTTTACATATTTCTTTTTTTCTTTACACAGTATATTGTTGCAAATTTTGTAGGTTGCCCTTGATAAGGGCATCTGCTGTGCTAATAAACATGAATACTAATAATTTCTTACTGCCTAAATTCATGAGACTCTGCTGATGTCCACATTTTTTTCTCATTTTCCTTTTGCCTTCTGTTCTATATAATATGTATGCTATTGTACAGGACTTCGGAAGAAAACTAGAAAACTACATAAATAAAAATGTATTATTATTAGAAATGCCTTGGCAATTTATAAATTAAAGACCCTTTTGGCTGCCTCTAGAAGCAGATTGGCTGTAATTGCAACTTCTTCTTAGGAGAGACTACAACTGGAGAATACTGTATTTAGAAATCCAAGGCATTACACTCAAGCTACCAGTGCACTGCTTTAAATAGATTCTGTCTAGGGATTTACTTGCAGACCTGTACACTCTGATGTATTCCGAATAGCATATGTGAAAATGAAATCATCAGTGGATTGTGTAAACAAACTAGGAAATAACATATACAGTAGGTGATTACATTTTTTGTCATTATTAACCAAGCTGTTTGACCTTTGCGAGATCCCTGCATGCAAATTCAACTGTGTAAAGGACAAATATTACATCACCATAGTAGGCAGTGGAAAATGCTGAGTTAGTACGTTTTATGCAGAACATATCAGAAAGAAGGGGTAAGTGCAAATCCTCATTACCATTTAACAAAATAATCACCAAATGCAATTACATTCAATTTATTCTTAAGTAAATTCATTACAAAAGTGTAATTCACACTTTTAACATTTTAAAATATTTCTCCCTGCAAAGGCTGAAACAAAACTCTCTTAAACTTTCACAGTGGCACTGGCTGTAGCTCACATTAAGATAAACAGCTTAGGTTATATTAAATGAAAACACTTTTACTGAGCAAGAAATCACCTGCAAAGAAGATTTCAACCATTTTACTTAAGAGCTTGACAATCTCTGGCACTGTCAGCTGAACTCAACATGCTTGCCTTCTTAGCTTAGTAGAAAAATAATTCATTCTTCCTGAAACAATTTTGCAGAAGATGTCAGGCAGATATTCATACTGTGTGATCAATGTAAAATGTGTCATAAATTAATTAAAAAAATAAAGTGGTCAACAGCAATATGCTTGTTATGAGAAACATTAATTAGATAATAGTATCTGAAGAAGAAAGTTCAGGTTTTGCAAATTGTCAATTCATGCCTGTTATGAAATGAAATGGAGAAAAAGAAAGCAAAGCAGAAAGAGAAAGACTAGTAAGAACAGGGACTTGGAGATTCTTTACCTCAGTTTGGAATCCCTCCACCAAAATGGCCACCAGCAAGTTGAACAGAACGTAGTTCCCAAAGGTCATGAGAGCGATGAAGTAAAGGGCAGCCCAGGGAGAAGTAGAAGCCATTCCATTGTACAGCACCTTGTTCCAGTCCTCCTGAGTGAGGATCTGCACCCAACACACGACCATCAGGGACAACACTCACAAAAGACATCTTAACCAGAAACCCAAGATAAACTTGTTGTGCCATGTGCATAATTTGGGATATGTCT